AAAGATGTATCAGAATGTTTTATATCCCACATAAAGGACATTTGTAGATAGATCTGTGTTTACACCTTTTCTGGGTTTAACAACTTCGGTGCCTCTGTAGGAGCATTTGCATAGCACTGTATAGCTAGTAAAGAGATGATTTAAATATGCCCTGTTCCTATGAGTGCTCTTAGGACAAATTCAAGCAAGTTGAAGGGGTAAGGTGAGCTGAAGTTTTTAGAAGGCTTGGCTGCCATGAAACCACAAAATAAGATTCTGCCCCACTTCCTATGAGTCATACAGCAGGAATGGAGTAAGATAAGTAACTCTCCATAGTAAGTATTACTTCTGCCTGAGTATTGGCACAGGTTTTCTGGAGGACTGGTAGTCTCGTATTCAAAGTCTGCATTAAAGAATATGTTATATGGGTATTTGAGATATTGTCTCATTTGTTGGGCCTTTGCTTATTTCTCTGTTAGCAAGTAATGTAGACCAAGTGGAACTGATACATAGATTGAAACAGCTGGTACTGAATACTGCTGGCAACACTATTCAGGGATAGTTCAAAGTTGTTCTACTGTAATTCAGAAATGTATCTTCCAAATTAGTTTTATGCAAATGAAAACAATTAATTGCTCAAAACCCATTGTCCCATCATAAACCTAGGCACAATCTGGAGTTATATTTCATGAACACACTCAGCTCAGGAGCATGTAGTAACTACATTGAAACTCTTTCTGTCACACTGACCATGTGTGTCTAGTATGTTCAAGAATCTCTCACCCACTGAACACTTGACAATTAGTCCCACTCATCCCTGTCATGATGCTGGAGTTCTTATCAAGATTTGTCTCTTTGAATTCTTAATCTAGCCCAAATGGTTTGGCTTATTGCAGTGTGATTATTCTAAACTAGCAATGCCCAAAATAAAAATAAAATAGACTTCTACATTTCTCTACCTTCTTTAGAGGAAAAAAGCTCTCATATGATCACACATGGATTACACATGTGCTACACACAGAATTACTCTTGCACTGGTCGTACTGCATATACCAGGTAATAGGCACATTTTGGAGTTTGTCTATTTCCCATCAAAAATGTATTTTAATAGCAATGTAGTTGATTACATTTAAAATCGTAACTCACATGTTATTCAAGGCAATTTGACCATAAGAGAAGTCTTTTCTATACCCTCAGTATTGTAATATAATAAAAATTGATGTATTCTTTTTATTGATTTAATATATCACAAAGAACTTTACCACTTATACTCTAGGCAAAGAGATCAGCCTGTGTTTGGCTTTGAATATCTCCAACGCTGGACATAAAACAACTCCCCTGTAAAAAAAAAAAAAAAATCACAATGTTTGAACGCACTTGAACCAGTGAACCAGTGTTTTCTTTTATGCAACTGGGTTTTTCCTTGTTGCAACTTCTGAACACTATGTTTGTGCTTTTGAAGCATACACACTCCCTAGAAGAGTTTTTGTCTTTTCTATTCCTTTTCCGTAAACCTGCTTCCTAGTAAATTGTTTCTTGGGAATGATTTGCCCCAGACGCAGGATTCTGCATTTCCTTTTTGGAATTTTATGAAGTTTCTATCAGGCTTTTCCTCCAGCTTATTGAGATCTTCCAAAATAGCCTTCCTGCACTAGAGCATATCAACTGATCCTCCAGTGTCTGTAAGCCTGCCAAGAGTTTACTCTGTCTCATTGTTCTCATCTTTAATGAACATTGAAGTCAACATCC